GGTGGCAGTGCACATGTAATACAGATTATTTAAATTGAGTAGAATTGAATATAATCTGCTTCAAGCTCTTGTGCATACATGCTGAACATACTCATGCAAACTCCAAAGAATATTTGTGTGTGGCCTCTTCCTAGATCTAGTCAAATGTTGGTAATAGTTTAAGGAATTATCGTGTAAGAAGATTATGTTTTTGAATAAACTTGGTCAAATTGGCCAGTCCTCGATAAATGGTGCATATATACAGACGTGTACAAGAACGCATTTCGTATTCTTATTATTAGGGCTTTTTAGAGCAACCAGTTTTGTAAACATGGTACAGATAGATATTATATTTCATAACCACAACTGATTGTATACACTGTAATATGTGAATTTATATCACGTCTTATCAAGCGAGCAAGCACATGTGTATAGGAATGCGAACTACATGAATGTACTAGCTGATGTCCACGCAGCCTCTTCATCTACATACAAATGAAATGGCACCACTGAGATAATTTCTGTCTTTGTGTCTCCTATCCCGTAAGTACAATTTACTCATTTCTTATTATAAACGTTTTTCGACATTATTTGTCTAAAAAACGTGGTAGGTTCTATGCACTGTTCACAGACTTTAAAAAGGCGTTTCATTTCGTTGATAGATCTTAATTATGGTTTATTCTAAAGCATTGGGGTGTTTCACCAAAACTGTTAAAGGCACAGGAGTACATTTGTAGTTGTGTCAAAGGATGTATTAAGGCTAATAATAACTCCTCTGGGTGTTTCGGTAGTCCAATACGTCTTAGTTTTGGGCACATGTGGCAACAACATTTAATAAATAACATTGACAGCTTCATATCTGAATTATCTGTTGCCCATAGGTCTTAGACAAGGCTGTGTAATGATCCCTTCCCTATTCTCAATGTTTATCACTGAACTGTGGTAATGGCAAGACCACCTGGAGATCAAAACCTAAACACTTTCTATTCTCTAGTAGTGTTGGGTACATGTGGCAACAACAATTTATAAATAAAATTGACAGCTTCATATCTTAATTTTCGGTTGTCCATTAGGTCTTAGACAAGGCTGTGTAATTATCCCTTTCCTATTTTCAATGTTTATCACTGACCTTGCATTGCAAGAATCATATTGTGTTCCAGATGTACAGTTACACCCTGATATTATACAGGTAGTGTGCTGCTATTTTCAAATGGTATTGTCTTTTTTGGCCGATACTGTCTGCTGGAAAAACGTTTTGATGTCTCACAATGTGTTTGTGATAACTCCCATTTCTCAGTTAATCTAGATAAAACTATGATTGTTGTCTTCAAAACAATTATCAAAAGTCGAAAAATGATATTTTAACGAGCATAAACTTGAGTGTGTGTCATTTTATAAATATCATGGAGTATTATTTTCTAGATAATTGTCATGGTCTAATCATGTTTATCATGCATCACTTAGACAAAAAAAAAGAAGATTCTCTGTGTAATTATAAAATCGCAATGCATGCTACAGCCTTTACCCCATGATCTATCTTTTTTAAATATTTGACTCCAAAATCAGGCTAATTTTACTGTATGGTTCTGAAGTATAGGGGTGTTGACAAATACTAAGAAACAGAAGTACGTTGTACAAATGTTCACGTGTCAGCGAGTTTTATTGTGTGAAGTGATCGTCCCCAAATCATCTTGTTAGAGGACAATGCGGATATCCCATGTACATATTTGCATGTAAACGTGTTATTAAGTACTGGTGTGAAATAATCAATATGACAGAATCACATTTGGTAAAGAAATATTATAATTTATTAAAGTTAGCTTGTGATAATGGCAAGACCACCTGGGCGTCAAAAGCTAAACACGTTATATTCTCTAGTAGTTTTGGGTACATGTGCAACAACAATAAATAAATAACACTGACAGCTTCATATCTGAGTGTTTCGGTTGCCCATTAGGTCTTAGACAAGGCTGTGTAATTACCCCTTTCCTATTATCAATGTTTATCACTGACCTTGCATTGCAAATAGAATCATGTTGTGTTCCAGATGTACAATTACACCCTGATATTATACAGGTATTGTGTTGCTATTTTCAAATGGTATTGTCCTTTTTTGCTGATACTGTCTGTTGGAAAAACGTATTGATGTCTTACAATTTGTTTGTGATAGCTACCATTACCAAAAAATTATTCTCTGTGTAATTATAAAATCGCAATGTATGCTACAGCCCTTACCCCATGATCTGTTTTTTTTAAATATTTGACTCCAAAATCTGTATGGTTCTGATGTATGGGGTGTTGATAAATACCAAGAAACAGAAGTACGTTGTACAAATGTTCACGTGTAAGCGATTTTGTGTGTGTGAAGCGATCGTCACCAAATCATCTTGTTAGAGGAGAATGCGGATATCCCATGTACATATTTGCATGTAAACGTGTTATTAAGTACTGGTGTAAAATAATCAATATGACAGAATCCCGTTTGGTAAAGAAACATTATAATTTATTAAGTTTGATTGTGATAATGGCAAGACCACCTGGGCATCAAAAGCTTAACACTTTCTATTCTCTACAAGTGTTGGGTACATGTGGCAACAACAATTTATTCACAGCTTCATATCTGAATTAACGCTTACCTAAAATCTTCTTATGCTCAAGATTGGTACGCAGCCCTATCATCAAGTTAAAATTAACCCTACATGGTGCATTCAAAATAAATTTTAGCTTAGAATCATTTTTAAAAAGAAATAACTATATTTTAATAAAGGACTGCACTTGCTCAGTGCACTTGTTTCGTCACCAGCTTCTAATTGAGACTGGGAAATACAGACATGAGGTGAGGTGAGGTGAAATAGGGTTTAACGTAGCGTCCAAGATTATTGCACTTATATATAGCGACGTGCATGTATGTGTTTGTGTGTGTGGCTGCTTGTACTATTCCGGACTGATGCCGATTTATAATGCTAGCTCACTATACTGACTCCGAGCTGACCAGTCTTTGTTTTAGCCGCTTAATGCCGAGCGCCAGACAGGGTAACAACAAGTACCATATTTTAACGTCTTTTGGTATTGGGATCAAACCCCGGACCTTCCTCTCTCCGGGTGGAAGCTCTACCACTAGATCACGGAGGCGGTCATACAGATAAGGGATAAAACATCGACGGTTGTGTTTGATTTGTAACGTAGTTCTAGTAGAAGATGAGTATCATTTTGTAATAATTGATAGCCGCTACGATTTGAAATATATACCACCTTAATCTCATTTGTACCCTACATTATATAAGTTTAATATGTTGATGGCGTCAACCGATGTACCCACTGTTCAAAACTTTACTTACAAAGCAATGTGATTGCGACTTGAGTAAACTACATTTATATTGTATATTGTTAATTAAATCCTCTAATATGACTGCACACGCTGTAATATAAAATGTGAATATGGCCTACACTACTTTACGAATAAAAAAGATGAAAAGATTATTGTGAATATTATGTGTCAGTGCAAGCATGTCGGAGGAAGTGGGCTCTTCTCACAGCCGGAGATATCAAGTAATCATGGAGGCGTGACCGTTGTTTTACTATTTAGATCCTCTTTTATGATTTCAGAAAATAATTTATTTTATTTAATTCATTAATCACAAATTCGATTTCTACATGTCAAAATATCTTTGTATTGATATCACAAAACCAATCATTTATTTTGTGATATCACCAATGGAACTATTGGAATAATAAAATAGGGAATTAGAAGTAAAACAGCATCTTGTACGGCAGAAGGCCTTCACAGTTCCGAAGCCTGTCTTTACAAGCATGTCACTGCACTCGCTGACTTGGTTGATGCATGTCGTCGTGTCCCAACCGCGTGGATCGATGCTCATGATGTCAATCACTGGAGTTTTTGGTCCAGACTCGATTATTTACAGACCGCCGGCAAAATGCTGGAATATTGCTGAGTGCGGCGTTAAACAACAAACAACAAACCAACTTATAGTATGCGTTATGCAAGTGATGTTTATTCATGCCAGTGTTATTTAGATACGCCCATTCTCATTGTAACGACTCTTGGTTATACAAAACTGAAGTATGGCTAGCGGGGCTATGATTTGAGCTTACAAACAGGCTCAGCTGGTATATGGGTTGTTATAAGAAAATGCGCAATGTTTGTGTAATGGCCTCTTCTAACATGCACTGACTGCCTAATGCCTTGACAGATGAAATAAGTGTTAATTTGTACTCAAGTATAAATTTAACCAGGGAGTCCACACATGTCCTAAATAAACTCCCCGATCAAACCGACAGAAAAGAATTACATATGCTTCTGGTGTCACATTGGTGTGACAGAATGTCCTGATGCAACGTCTTTATGCACATTCTTGCATAAAGTAAAGCGACATTAAATTGTAACTTGTGTAAAGGCCTAACTTTCCCCATTTTATTTTGTTCCTTTATAGTTGTAGGCTATAACGAAAAATGGAAGGCGTTAACGTGTGACGTTTAGTCAGCCTTCTGTGTACAACAACCGCAACGTCGACAAGGAAGTAAAACCCAGTACAAGGAGATGATCTGTCAAAAGCTTTTTTCTATGCCAAACCATTCAGACTTCGGCAATTGTCTCCCTTCCTTCGTTCAATGTTCATTGGTAAAGTACAGCTTTCCTTGTAATTTAAATAATATCGACGGTAAACAATAAACCAATTCTGTCGCAGATACATTTTTAAGTGTTCAAAAATAGAATACCTAACTTCCACTTCAGGAATGTTTAGCACTAGATCTACAGCAGCCTGTAGATCTACCAAAACTAGCGCTTTTTACTTGAAGAGGTCTTTCTTCTCAGCGAGTTTTATTTACGCTTGAAATGTCGTTTTAGCTATCCACACAACAAATGTTTTACCATTTCTTCAAAGTTATTTATTTCAAGGTGATTACAATTTTTAGAATGTTTTCCAGCCCCGATGTAGAGCTGCTTCTGATATGTGATGCTACGCCCCTCTGTTACAACTTATTCGGGTCCTTTGACAGGCAGTTACGTCCCTTGGAAGACAGGGGGCGTTGTTTCCGAGCATGGCGGACGAAGTTTATTCTTCCTGTTTGGTTAATATTGTTTATTGACACTTTACTGAGGATATATTTGGTAAGTGGAGCCCGTCATAACACTTCTCTGATAGATCGCTTCGTCTTAATTGTTCTGAATTCATCGTAACTTATTTCATTAGGCCTTTTGTCTGTAGAAATAACTGAAGTATTCGCAGAATTTGACCGGTCGCATTTAATTATTTGTGTGTCAGAGTGAGCTGGCGTGATTAATCACACGAGAATAAGACAACGTATTATCTTTGAATTGACAGTTCAGTTAGTTCATCTGACTCTAACATATGTGAATACTTGTTCTAACGAACCTGACATTTTGCCGACGAATCCCGTCTGTGGAGAAACAAAGTGATCAACAGTGAGGTGATCAATATCACAAAATTGACACTGCATCAGAACTTGACGAGATGTTTAGTTAATAACATAGACGTTTCGCATACAGGCTATTTACCAGGTGTGCCGTCTCGAAGTAAGACACTCCTCTTACAAACATGTTTCAGCCTATAATTTATTAAATTTAATATGTTTTATTTATCATCATGGTCACTTATTACGAAGACCTATTTCAGACCATAATATTATTTTACATGTTTAGCTAATTTATTTTACTTGGACATTGTGTAATGCTTGACATTCAAGTATGCTTGTCTTGTCAATTTAGAGTATGTTAACTACAATGTAGGGGCAATGATCATGCTTATGAGTTTAGTCGAGTGCAGGCTAAATAGTAAAACGGCATCTCCACAAAACGTCACAGATTTCTCTGGCGAAAACGGCACCGCATTTGGCGAACACAGCTACAATGTGTTTGGGCGAAAACAGCACCTCTGTTTTTAATAACGATAAGAACGGTTTATGAAGTATTATATCTTCGTCAATACCGGCCCATGTACCACCGAACATTGTGATAGTAGCTGACTCAGCTAATTTCTCAATAACAGGTACAGAAAGTCGGTACCACATACACGATGGGTCCACTGGTCACAGTTGTCACATGATACAGCATGTTGATTTTTTCTGACATTCTTCTTACATGCAACACATCGAAAGGCCATTGTGAATAATTGTGATCTGACATAACTTACTTACTTACTTACTTACTTTGGAGATTTAACGTGCGCTTTCCGACTGATGCGTATTTCGCACACGGGCCCGGCCAGGCCATTTAATGTGTTTCCGAAAGGGGCGAAGGTGGTCTGTGCAACCCAAGAGGGGGGTTTTAGGGGTTGCTTATATAGAATTTGGGAATTTTGACCATGTTAGGCCTCTTAAATAGAGTTTCAGCTCGACATTGAGTCAAATTGAGTAAAGGTACTTAAACTTCAAAGCGTGTAGTGTTTTCACAATAAGTTAGCTGCGCTTCCAAACAGAGTCGGCGAGTAATTTGGAGAAGGGGGCTAATTTCTAAGGTTAACTTGTTTTAACATTTCACAATTATTTGTGTTTGTAAGAGATGATGTGAGTTTAATTTCATTTATTTTACTTCAAAGCATGTTATGTTTTCACAATAATTTCAGTTGCGTATAGGGTAGCTAAGTTGGAATATAGTTGGAGTAGAGGCTAATTTCTAATGTAAACATTTCACAATTATTGGTGTTTGCAAGTTACCATGTAAGTTTAATTTTATTTATTTGACCAAGGTAAAAAAAAAAAAGGTGCCACTTTCGCCAGGCAATAGTAGCCGTTTTCCCTTGAGGCGAGGGACGTTTTTGCCCGGTCACGTTTTGATGAGGTGCCATTTTAGCTATAAATGTTCACCGTACAATGTAAACTGGGTGCATGTTTCTGCATTTCAAAAGCCTTGGTACTGACCCTGGCCACTAACCAGTTATTGCCATATTTTTCATGTTGTTTTGAGAAATTAGCAGTTAATGTAATGAGTAAGAAATGTTTATGTCAATTTATCGTCTGCCAACTGTTACAAAGAAAACTTCACAAACATAAGCTACACATTGCTTACTCATAATACTATTAACTATCAGCATGATCACCTGGCTATGGTTTTTCAATATGTTGAGGTTATGCTTATTTGAGCATGTATGTTTGGGGGAAGTTATTTCGGGCAGATTGTAAGCAAAAACTGAATTATAGAAGATGTGCATAAAGGGACAAGACGTTGATGTTCTGAAGCCTTTGGGGGCACGAGTGGGCGAGTCGCCTGAGGCGCCATGATGCGATGTGCAAAGTTGCATCCCTTTGACACGCCAGAAATCTATGATTGTGGGTTCGAATCCCGGTTCACCCCGATTATGTTTCTAGGTTTGTCAGCACCATACCCATGCTCATGGGTTTCACCGAAGTGGTAAACGTTGAAGACCTGCATCACTTTGGGCTTTCCTCCTACATTAAGCTGACTCGCCGCAATATAACTGGAATACTGTTAAAAGCGGCGTTAAACCCAACTCACTCACTCACTATGAAGCCTTGTTTGTAAACAATAGCCGATAATCCCAGAGCCTGCTCATCTCTGCTTACCTTATTCTGTGAGAGGTGCAGGTGTAGGTTTATCATGTGACCTGATTTTTGTCTTATTTGTTACCAAATGCAATTATTCTGAAATGAGAACAGACGGACCTAATGCGCACCTTTTGGTGCACTTTACATATTGTTTGCATAACAAAATAGATACAGATTCAGATTCCCGATGGTTAATTCTGACTCGATCGCCGAATGACGAGGGCGACGCCATGTTTGTTTATAAACAGTGAAAGTAGTTCCTAGTTGACCTTTGATATTTGCATCTCTATCCGCATATGACCCCAAGGGATATCGTTTTTATCCGTTGGCTTTATCCTGCCGAGAAACCTACCCATTATATGATAATCTGTAAGATGTGACACTGGGACAGAGTTACTAGGCTGGCAGCAAGGAACTCGGGGCTGGAGAGTGATTAGCTTCAATCGACTGAGGCATATTTTTATTGTAATCAAGACTTCGATAAACACTGGCTTCTTATCTAATTAAACTGCTAATTAGTATTTTGTTACTCATCCGTAAGAAAAATACATGAGCTCTCCCTTCAATTTGCTCCAATAAGGAAAATATGACTGAAGGCAGTTTACTCTGCACAGTGCTTGCATTGTTGGATTGCTATGCAGAGCTCTATTGGTTTGGTTTGAGAATTGAATTTGGCATGTGACGTCGTGCTCCGAAATGATTTCCTGCATGATTTAAAAACACACAGAGCCGTTGACATAGTGTCCCTTTAACCTGCTAAGGCAGGCTTTTTTCAACTGTCCAGGCTAAAATTTTTTCAAAGTTACTATATATAAGGCAAGGTCATTATCTTGTGTTTTTAATATTCCCAACAATATAATTTGCTCATGATATTCAGAAATAAGTGTCTTTCTTCTCATGAATAACAGCAGAATTCTAACCAGTTGCAATCAAGTGCGCATTTTAATACTTTAAAAAGAATACTTTATCATGTTTACTGTGAGCATGCTAAAACAGGAAGGATTCTAACTCTCAAGAAGCTGGAGGGTAATGGGTTGGTGAAACTATAAGCATGGCCAGAGCAGCTTGAATCCATGGGTGTAGTGGGTAGTCGGTTATCACAGTACACATATTTACGTCAAATCACATGGACACTTGACCATAAAGTATAATCATTTCAAAGCAGGTTCAAAAGGATAAGTTGGCTATTTTTAGTTGTGAACTTGAAACTCTTATAACAACACATTTGTGATATTTTGATTGAAAAAATGCTGGAAGGGTAGGTAATTAAATGAGTAGAAAGTAATTTATATTAGCAAGTGTACCATCTTGTATCGATACGGAAAAAAAACTGTATCATGTATAGTATCGGTGCATGAAAACTCACAGTGCACCAGTGTATCATTAGCCCTATTACCAAGTGGCACCTATGCTCAAGATGATCACTGATTATACTGAACAAAATTGTGTGACCCTTCTGCTAACAGTCATGACACGACCATGACACAACTTGAAAAATAAACGTCCCCTTTGCTGAGCAGGGTTCTAGTTACTGCAACATGACCAGTTGCCCATTAATGCCATCTTCCTGAGGCAAGGGAGTTAACTGACTTGAATAGTCCATTTTCCACCCTTGCCAAACTAGGCTAGAATCCCGAGTTATAGTTTTGGCTGGACTAACGAGTCTATGCATAATCCAATCAAAATCTTGTAATGAAATCGACATCCGGTTCGTATATTGCCCTGCAGATTTCGGTCAATTGCAGGATTTGCAAAGCTTGTGTACCACCAGCTCGGCGTCAACAGATATTTCCCAAATCTTTTCATGTTTTTAATCAAGGCGCTCACATGATTTGATTCACTTCGCGAAGTATGACCCATTTTATCACAATATGGATTTTGATCATCGATCAGATCGAGTTGATTGGGCACTGCCATTTTGTTTGAAGCAAATGCAAGGGATATGGGAGGTGGAATGTGATTGGTCATTAGCATGATTAGGAGGGACATGGAAGGGACAAAACTTGTAATAGCCACTGGTCGGCGCTTCAATTGAGCCCAGAACTTCCAGTCCAGTTTGGCAAGGTTGGAAACTAGACTTTTATAGTCAGTTGACTCCCTTGCCTCGGGAAGATGATTAATGTTCAAGACCAGTAGACTGTAGTAGTGTTACATTTAGAAATACCATTGTTTGATACATCTTGTCGACTAGTTTGATTAAAGTTGTGTTGTCTCACCATGTCAACCCTGACATGTACATTTGTCTGCTGATCACAGTATCTGGCTAGAACATGGAGAATGTATGAATAAGGTGAACTAGACACACATCAAACCTCACTTCCTTTAACACAGTGAGTTGAATGATACAGCTTGTACCAAGTCCTGGAGTCTCAGCTCGTCTGTTGACAAGATATCTGTTAGCTTTTATTGTTAATACAGTAAACTACAGTTATAACGAACTCAAAGGGACCACTAGTTTAGGTTCGTGATAACCGTAGTTCATTAGAAGCATATATACAGCATATATACAACAAATGGCTGGGACTAAAAATAAGTTTGTTATATCGGTCAGTGTGTTATAAGCATGTTCGTTATAAATGTAGGTTA